TAAAGGATTCTGGGCTGCCCAGTAGCTCACAATTAGCCTGAGACAGGCCACCATAAGTTAGAGCAGCTACAGACAGTGTGTTATAGGGTATTGGACTAGGACTCAAGCAACCTGAGTTCTATTCCCAGCTCACTTTCTATGGATGTGTTGTCATGGCCAGTCTGGGGTGACTGCTCACTTTCTGTGAGTGTGGTGCCATCTCTGGTTGGGGCAGAGGTGCTAAATTTCTGGGGGCTGGTGCCATGGGTAAGAGGGGTTCTACCACACAGGTAATGTTATAGGAGTCACAACAATCTATCCTTTTCTTGCCCATGCTTAGTTCAGAAGAGACTTCACCTTCCTGCGTCACATTTTGTTCCCTGTCCATCACATATGGATATTTTTTCCTTTACTGCAGAAATGCAGCTCTTTCCTCCCAGAGGAAATTAGCAGCCATGGGGACAAAAACAGGAAGAAAGGAATCAACTTCCTGCTTGCCCTGGAGACATCCCTGATCTACTCTGTGTACACCAGCACTAAGCAGTGCAAACTGGCTGGGGAATCAGCAGCCAGTGCCAAGGCTTGTATTGGGAATGCCCCTGGTCTTCTTGGCCCTGGCCAGTACTCATTTGTACAGCAACACTCATATACTTCACACGATGTAAAGAAAAAAATAAGCCAATAAATATTAGGGCTGTCAATTAATCGCCGTTAACTCACACGATTAACACCAAAAAATTAATTGTGATTAATCGCAGTTTTAATTGCGCTGTTAAACAATAGAATACCAATTGAAATTTATTAAATATTTTGGATGTTTTTCTACATTGTCAAACATATTGATGTCAGTTACAACAATACAACACACAATACGAAGTGTAAAGTGCTCACTTTATATTATTTTTATTACAAATATTTACACTGTAAAAATGATAAAGAAATAGTATTTTTCAATTCACCTCATACAAGTACTATAGTGCAATCTCTTTATCATGAAAGTGCAACTTACAAATGTAAGTTTTTTTAATTATATAACTGCACTCAAAAACAAAACAATGTAAAACTTCAGAGCCTACAAGTCCACTCAGTCTTACTTCTTGTTCAGCCAATCGCTAAGACAAACAAGTTTGGTTACATTTACAGGGGGATAATGCTGCCCACTTCTTATTTACGTCACCTGAAACTGAGAAGAGACATTCACATGGCACTTTTGTAGCTGGCATTGCAAGGTATTTACGTGCCAGATATGCTAAAAAAAATTGTATGCCTCTTCATGCTTTGGCCACCATTCCAGAGGACATGCTTCCATGCTGACGACGCTTGTTAAAAATATAATGCATTAATTAAATTTGTGACTGAACTCCTCGGGGGAGAACTATATGTCTCCTGCTCTGTTTTTTACCCTCACTCTGCCATATATTTCATGTTATAGCAGTCTCGGATGATGACCCAGCACATTATTCATTATAAGAACACTTTCACTGCAGATTTGACAAAATGCAAAGAAAGTACCAATGTGAGATTTCTAAAGATAGCTACAGCACTTGACCCAAGAGTTAAGAATCTGAAGTGCCTTCCAAAATCTGAGAGGGATGTGGTGTGGAGCACGCTTTCAGAAGTCTTAAAAGAGCAATATTCTGATGCAGAAACTACAGAACCTGAACCACCAAAAAAGAAAATCAGCCTTCTGCTGGTTGCATCTGACTCAGATGATGAAAATGAACATGCATTGGTCTGCACTGCTTTGGATCATTATTGAGCAGAACCCATCATCAGCATGGATGCATGTCCTCTGGAATGATGATTGAAGCATGAAAGGGCATATGAATATTTAGCGCATCTGGCACGTAAATACCTTGCAACGCCAGCTACAACGATGCCATGTGAACGCCTGTTCTCACTTTTAGGTGACAGAAGCAGGCAGCATTATCTCCTGAAAACGTAAACAAACTTGTTTGTCTGAGCGATTGACTGAAGTAGACTGAGTGGACTCATAGGCTCTAAAGTTTTCCATTGTTTCATTTTTGAATGCAGGTATTTTTTGTACATAATTCTACATTTGTAAGTTGCACTTTCATGATAAAGAAATTGCACTATAGTACTTGTATTAAGTGAATTGAAAAATACTATTTATTTTATTTTTACAGTGCAAATATTCATAATAAAAAGTAAAGTGAGCACTGTACACTTTGTATTCTGTGTTGTAATAGAAATCAATATATTTGAAAATGTGGAAAACATCCACAAATATAATATAAATATAAATAGTATTAAAAATATATACATATAAAAATATAAATAGTATTTTATTATTGTTTAATCGCAATTAGTTTTTTTTAATCGCGCAATTAATCGCGACTAATATTTTTTAATCGCTTGACAGCCCTAATAAATATAGAAGGCCCCACTTGTATGCTGGGGCAGGGAGGGTAGAGTAGCTACAGTCTCCATGAGCATGAAGGAAGTAGATACCAAAGAAGGGGAAGAATTATTTAGGATTATGCACAGGGAACAACCAGCTGTAATGGGAGTATGAACCTTCAGACTGGATATCAGGGAAACTCCCTGACACGGAGAAATATCAAGCTGTGGAGTCTGCTCCCCAAGGAAAGGCTGGAGGTCCCTTTGCTTGACTACTCAGACTTACTTTGGAGATTGTTCTGCCTAATGGGAGACGTTAGCATGCCATGGATTCTGCCCCACACCGTTTATTTTGCCCTTCACTGGAATCAGGCAGGTTAGTGCAAATTAATTTCTCATGACTCCCATGTTCCAAGGCCACGAGCATGCCATCTAGGGGACTTAGCTAACTGCACTCAATATGCGTTCCCCATTTGTGTAGAGTGCCAGTAGCATGAAAATATTCTCATCTCAATGATATTGTCTGCAATCTGTGGAGAGAAACAGCGCCAGGACTGGACTAGTGAGCTCATGGGGCCTGTCTCACTCACTTTTCAGTGACTCTGAGAATATTATCAATAGCCAAGGACTCCTCAAGGCTGCCATCCTAGCAGCCAGGCTGCATTCGGGTCCAAACACATTTCTTCCTGAATCCAAGATCCATCTGAAGATCTTAGACTCCATCCTCAGCTAGGCTGAGTTTACACTTGCTACCCCGAGGAGAACAGGATGAGGGGGTGACTCAAAGCCATCTTTCTGCCTCCCCAGTCCTGGACTGGCTAAAGGCCAAAATGGCTCCCACTGTAACTTCGAGCAACCTCAGGTCTCTGTCCTTCAAGCTATGTGCTCCATCAAGCCCTGTGTCAAGTGTTATCCTCAGCTGCCGTGTTAGAGCAGCTAGCAGAAAGGCTGCAGATTGAGCTTTTTCTTTCCTGAGCATGAGGCAGAGTGAGGAGCTGGACTGCCCTTGTGACACCCCCACATACTAGTGGGCAGGGAACAGGTCCTCTGAATGGGACCACTGAAGCTCCCTAGCTATCCCAGCTTCTGCCCAAGCAGCACCCAATACGCACCCAGTGAGCTGAACCTGTCTGAAAGTTAAGAGTCCTGAGAATGCATGTGTGCACTGCAGGATAAGACAGATTCTTGAAGGGAGGATGTCTTAGCACAGAGCCAGGCTGCTGCCTGCTGATCACCTGCCTTGAAAGCCCACAACATACCCATGAGTTACTAAGCAGGACAGACACTAAACTCCAGCCCAAGTGTGCAGAGTCCAGGCTTGCTCACAACTACACTGAGGCATTCCTGGGAACAGGGGTTGTCTGCCGTCTCTCCCACTAGTGTCCACCAGGGGCTCTTGCCAGCTAAGGGAGATGCACTGGACTAATCCCACCAAAACTATTTGGGGGATGTGCACGTCTCAGTATAGACTCTGTTGAGATTTCCCCATTGAGCCCCACACAATTGTGAAAATGTCCTGGAACTGTCACACATCCCCTCCTTTAACCAGGCCAAATTCCAAATAGAAGAACATTACTGGCTGCACCCAGAAGCAGGTCTGCAGCCTTAGTGCAACTGCAAACTCCAGCATTCCCAAGCGTGGGTCCCACTCCCACAGCAAGTAGCCAAGGGCCTTAGTGCCTGAATTCACTTCCCCCAGCATCCTGCTCCAGTCAGTGCTTTCCACACGGAATTTGCTCCACCATCACCTCACTTTACTCTGGGATCATCCCCAGGGCCCAAGAGGAAATGCAGCCAGACTGGATGCCTGCAACAAGTATCTGCCATTGAATTTCCATCTCCAGACAGTGTGGCTGGACAGACCCTGGGCCTGCTAGAGATCAGGCTCCGCTCTCAGCGCACCAGGTCCCAGCCCAAGCTGTTTACCCGGTTTTAGGTTACAAAGAGCGGTGGGCTCAACTGCCTTCTCACTCTGTCGGATCAGTAACGGTTTGGCGGCAGTAACTCGACTCTGGCTCTCGGGCCCGGCCTTTGGGGTTACAAACTCACACGTACATCACCGCTCGTCGCCCAGCCCCTGTCCCGTCCCCCAGCCCGGGCAGCATGCACCGCACCCCGCGGACGGGAGCGCCCAATCCCTCAGCGACCCAGGAGACTCCGGCCTCTAGGCCGAGCCAAGCCGGAGCTCAGTCCTGAGGGAGCTCGCCCCACCCGGGGGCGCGGGCCCGTCAGCAGCCGCCTGCCCCCCACAACCCCCAGGGAACCCGCCAGCCGGGGGCTCCTGGGCGGGGCGCGGCGCCGCCTCGGGCCGCCCTCCCGGCAGGTGGCCGGCGGCGGGGCCCGCAGCTCACGTGCGCGCCAGGCCGAGGGGCGGCGGTGGCGAGCGCTGCCCTCGCTGGAGCCGGGCTCAGGCGGCTCCTCGGGGCAGCACCAAGCCCGGCGCCCGAGCGGCTGCCCGCCCGGCGAAGCTGGGTCCGGGGCTGCCGCCGTGCCAAAGCGCCTCTCCCTGCCTGGGCCCAGCGGCCGGCCCGCGGCCGCACCCCCTGCCCCCATCCGAGCGCCCCGGGGCCGCTCCCCCGCGGCGGCGCCCACCCGGCCCCCAGCGCCGGCCCCCGCCCGGGCCCCAGCGCCGGGCCCCAGCGCCGGGCAGCCACACTCACCGGGCAGCCGTCTCGGCTCCGCGCCGGGCCCGCCCAGCAGCGAGCGACAGATCCAGCGATCGGGCCGCCCCGGTGCGGCTAAGGGGCCCCCGCTCGCAAACTCGCCCAGAGCAGGCAGCGCAGACTCCGCCCCCGTGCCAGGGGCCGGCCGGCCGGCAACGCCATTCACAGCCCGAGCATGCAAATAGGAGCTGCGAGCCGCGCCGCGCCCGGCAGCCGGCGCCCGGCAGAGGAACTGCTCCGTGCGCCCGCGGCTCCGCCACGCAGCCCCATGCCCTTCCCGCTGGGGTGGTGGCCGCCGGCCGCGGCTCGCTATCTGCGCTGAGTCACGGCGCAGGAATGCTGCTGGCGGCGGCGCGGGTCAGCTGCCCCCCTGAGCCCAGCGGAAGCGGCTCAGCCGGGCAGCCCCTCACCCAGCCAGGGAGGTGCCCGCTGCCTTCAGCCGGCCGTTCCCCATAGCCCGAGGGGAACTCCCAGTCCAGAAATGTCCACACTTGCGGTTATTCCGGAGCAGTTGCTCCACTTCAGCTTCACACCCCCGTTTAGTACAGAGTAACTTTCATTGTGCAGGCAAGCCCTAAATAATCCGGTGCTACCTTATCCTCTTGCCCCTGTCCAGTGTTATTCCACCCTATGCCTTGGAGATCTGCCCAGTGTACCCCCCTGCAAGACCACTACATACCCGTGTACCCTTGGTTGAGAACCACTGGACTAGAGGATGGGAAAACTGCCCCAGGACCAGAAGGATGTGAAAGGTCCCAAGATAGCAAAATCTTCTGGGTAAGCAAAGGCCATCCTTACTCTGTGGTAACTGCTCCTGGTGGGAAAATGTACCGGTTGCAGTTTGTGCCACCACACCAGCCATGCTTCACAAAGCCCTATATAGCTTTGGAGAAGGGGCGCTGAGCTCAGTGAAGACTTACATCAAGGACTGCTCTTACTACATCAGTGCAATTCGGATTAACCGAAGCCTCATCCCTTGATTTTGGGGGAGCAGCTATCATTCAGTCCTTTCACAGATCCTGCTACTGTCTCTACACCTAATATGCGTTGTCTTTTGAGCTTCTGCCACACAGGTAAACTAGTACTATCACTCAAGCTAAACTTTTACATCAAGATGCTATTCCCTGTGGACAACTCAGTCGGGGGCTTTGTTACACTTGTCTGTGCTGTAACTAACCATTAGACCAGGCTCTGCTCTCAGAGCCAAGGAGAGAACCCAGGAATGCCAATACCCAGCATTCTAGTGCTAGTTCACAAATAGCAGATAAAGTGTATGCTGAAGCTCATATGGGCTGCTTCTCATCAAGGACAAAAATACGCTTTCCCTCATCCCCACCTGAACATCCTGAGTTCCAATACTGCTCATGGTCAGAGAAAAAGAAGTATATGCAAATTAGTGTGCGGCCATTGGGAAAAGTGTTTCAATCATTTTATATTGCAAAATATTGTACTGAGAGATGAATGTAGATGTTGTGTCTGTTTCAGTGTTGCAGATTTTAGCGTTTGTGTTTCGATTAATGGGAGCTGCCCCTTTCAGCATGGGGTGAGACACACAAGGATTGTGAAAGAGGCCGCACGCAGTGTGGGAGAGATGTTGCTTGTGTAAACTCGGAAGAGGTCAGAACTAGATTTAATAAACGTATCTTCCCAGAAATACTCAAGGGTGTCATATTAGCACTTAGAGGCACTGGATGCCTCAGGATGATACTAATGGGCTTCAGAGCCTTTTCCCTGTAGGTCAGCAGTCTGAAAGCAGCCCAGCTCAGCTTGAATTACGTTGTTCCTCTCTAATGGGTGTTTGGTGGCCCTGATGCAAGATAAATTTGGGGTGAGGGTGTCTCAGCTACAGCTCCCACATGACACTCTTACCCCCACACTTTGAACTAATTGGCAGAGAGACCAAGAACTGGATAGGCCACAGAGACTGACTGGTTTCAGAGCAGCAGCCGTGTTAGTCTGTATCTGCAAAAAGAACAGGAGTACTTGTGGCACCTTAGAGACTAACAAATTTATTTCAGCATAAGCTTTCGTGAGCTACAGCTCACTTCATCGGATACATGCAGTGGAAAATACAGTGGGGAGATTTTATATACACAGAACATGAAACAATGGGTGTTACCATACACACTGTAATGAGACCGATCAGGTAAGGTGAGCTATTACCAGCAGGAGAGGGGGAAAAAAAACAACCTTTTGTAGTGATAATCAAGGTGAGCCATTTCCAGCAGTTGACAAGAATGTGTGAGGGAGAGGGCGGGGGGAGGGGAGAAACAAACATGGGGAAATAGTTTTACTTTGTGTAATGACCCATCCACTCCCAGTCTTTATTCAAGCCTAAGTTAAATTGTATCCAGTTTGCAAATTAATTCCAATTCAGCAGTCTCTCTTTGGAGTCTGTTTCTGAAGTTTTTTGTTGAAAAAAGGTTTTTTGTTTTGCCACTTTTTGGTCTGTAATCGAGTGACCAGAGAGATTGAAGTGTTCTCTGACTGGTTTTTGAATGTTACAATTCTTGACGTCCTGATTTGTGTCCATTTATTCTTTTACATAGAGACTGTCCAGTTTGGCCAATGTACATGGCAGAGGGGCATTGCTGGCACATGATGGCATATATCACATTGGTAGATGTGCAGGTGAATGAGCCTCTGATAGTGTGGTTGATGTGATTATGCCCTATGAGGGTGTCCCCTGAATAGATATGTGGACACAGTTAGCAACAGGCTTTTTTGCAAGGATAGGTTCCTGGGTTAGTGTTTTTGTTGTGTGGTGTGTGGTTGCTGGGGAGTATTTGCTTCAGGTTGGGGGGCTGTCTGTAAGCAAGGATTTGCCTGTCTCCCAAGATCTGCGGGAGTGATAGGTCGTCCTTCAGGATAGGTTGTAAATCCTTGATGATGCGTTGGAGAGGTTTTAGTTGGGGGCTGAAGGTGATGGCTAGTGGCATTCTGTTATTTTCTTTGTTGGGCCTGTCCTGTAGTAGGTAACTTCTGGGTACTCTTCTGGCTCTGTCAGTCTGTTTCTTCACTTCAGCAGGTGGGTATTGTAGTTGTAAGAAAGCTTGATAGAGATCTCGTACGTGTTTGTCTCTGTCTGAGGGGTTGGAGCAAATGCGGTTGTATCGTAGAGCTTGGCTGTAGACAATGGATCGTGTGGTGTGGTCAGGGTGAAAACTGGAGACATGTAGGTAGGAATAGCGGTCAGTAGGTTTCCGATATAGGGTGGTGTTTATGTGACCATCGCTTATTAGCACCGTAGTGTCCAGGAAGTGGATCTCTTGTGTGGACTGGTCCAGGCTGAGGTTGATGATGGGATGGAAATTGTTGAAATTGTGGTGGAATTCCTCAAGGGCTTCTTTTCCATGGGTCCAGATGATGAAGATGTCATCAGTGTAGCGCAAGTAGAGTAGGGGCATTAGAACAACACTTCCTCAGCTCTCATCCCCTAAGTCAGCCATAAAGATGTTGGCATACTGTGAGGCCATGTGGGTACCCATAGCAGTGCCGCTGTTTTGAAGGTATACATTGTCCCCAAATGTGAAATAGTTATGGGTGAGGACAAAGTCACAAAGTTCAGCCACCAGGTTTGCTGTGACATTATCAGGGATACTGTTCCTGACGGCTTGTAGTCCATCTTTGTGTGGAATGTTGGTGTAGAGGGCTTCTACATTCATAGTGGCTAGGATGGTGTTTTCAGGAAGATCACCGATGGATTGTAGTTTCCTCAGGAAGTCAGTGGTGTCTTGAAGATAGCTGGGAGTGCTGGTAGCGTAGGGCCTGAGGAGGGAGTCTACATAGCCAGACAATCCTGCTGTCAGGGTGCCAATGCCTGAGATGTTGGGGCATCCAGGATTTCCAGGTTTATGGATTTGGGTAGCAGATAGAATAGCCCTGGTCGGGATTCTAGGGGTGTGTCTGTGCGGATTTGTTCTTGTGCTTTTTCAGGGAGTTTCTTGAGCAGATGGTGTTGTTTCTTTTGGTAACCCTCAGTGGGATCAGAGGGTAATGGCTTGTAGAATGTGGTATTAGAGAGCTGCCTAGCAGCCTCTTGTTCATAGTCCGACCTATTCATGATGATGACAGCACCTCCTTTGTCAGCCTTTTTTATTATAATGTCAGAGTTGTTTCTGAGGCTGTGGATGGCATTGTGTTCTGCACGGCTGAGGTTATGGGGCAAGTGATGCTGCTTTTCCACAATTTCAGCCCGTGCATGTCAGCGGAAGCACTCTATGTAGAAGTCCAGTCTGTTGTTTCGACCTTCAGGAGGAGTCCACCCAGAATCCTTCTTTTTGTCGTGTTGGTAGGAAGGTCTCTGTGGGTTAGTATGTTGTTCAGAGGTGTGTTGGAAATATTCCTTGAGTCGGAGACGTTGAAAATAGGATTCTAGGTCACCACAGAACTGTATCGTGTTTGTGGGGGTGGAGGGACAGAAGAAGAGGCCCCGAGATAGGACAGAGTCTTCTGCTGGGCTAAGAGTATAACTGGATAGATTAACAATATTGCTGGGTGGGTTAAGGGAACCACTGTTGTGGCCCCTTGTGGCATGTAATAGTTTAGATAGCTTAGTGTCCTTTTTCTTTTGTAGAGAAGCAAAGTGTGAATTGTAAATGGCTTGTCTAGTTTTTGTAAAGTCCAGCCACAAGGAAGTTTGTGTGTAAGGTTGGTTTTTTATGAGTGTATCCAGTTTTGAGAGCCCATTCTTAATCTTTTCCTGTTTGCTGTATAGGATGTTGATCAGGTGGTTCTGCAGTTTCTTTGAGAGTGCGTTTGAGACTGACTGTTATCCCATAACCTAGGCTGGCAAGGTAGTGAGTAGGGAAACCTAACCCTGGTGCTGCTCTGTAGATAACCTGAAAGCTTCATTCACCAGGGCTGCCTTTCACCTGTAAGAAATCCACACCATTTTTTAAAATGTGTTTTTACTGTTATATGCAAATTATTCCATTTTATAATGTTAATATATGTCACATAGAATCTCAGGGTTGGAAGGGACCTCAGGAGGTCATCTAGTCCAACCCCCTTGCTCAAAGCAGGGCCAATCCCCAATTTTTGCACCAGATCCCTAAATGGCCCCCTCAAGGATTGAACTCACAACCCTGAGTTTAGCAGGCCAATGCTCAAACCCCTGAGCTATTCCTCCCCAAAATTTGACAGCTATGTCCTTCACACTCTGTTTCATAGTTGTCCTATTTCCAATTCTCCAGCCCCTGTTACCTGCCCATTGTTATCCACCCCTCAGCTCTTCATGTTCTGGATCCCTTGTTTTTCCTCTCTCCATTCCTTGGCACTTCATTAACACTTTCTCTACTCTCCCTATGATGGCCGT